AGCAGACCCAAATGAAAAAATGTAACGGCCCGCTGCCGCGACGCACTAAAGCAGTCGTCCCAAACGGGGCCTTAAATTCAGCGGTTGGAATAAAAGTGAATTAAAACACCAAATTCAATGAAGTTGTTTGGACATATCTTTCGGGATAGCAATCTCCAAAAATGAAACATATTGGTAATGTTTTTTATCGGCATGCAAAGAATAAAGTTGTTTGGGACATTGAAGTAACAGGGTTCTTAACAAAAAGTATTTACTCCAAAGAATTTTATTTCTATATTTTTTTATTCAAAATGAGCATGAACATTATACGAGTTAGGTATTCATGGAAACTAAATTAGGATACTAGCCCATCATTTTTTAGCATCTAATTTCTGAAACATTAAAGGAAGAAGCTACTTTTGATTAAAGCATAGTTTTTGAGGTGTTATTGTTAAGTGCCCTTTATCTAAATACATGAACCATACTTATTCCTGCAACTAAACCCAGGCGATAATAGTCTTGCAGATAGTTCAAGCAGAAAAGCAAGATTCAGTAGTTCCCATCAGATTAACAATTGAGAATGTTTACGTGACCTTCCTTTCCTAATCAATGAGTATCGAAGCATGCAAAATGGAGTGACAAGAGTAAGTTTAGATGAAGCAGGAAATCTAGGGGCCCTCGTTCCGTGAAGATCGTGTGCTTTGCAAAATAAGCTGTCCAACAAAACAATCCACTGGCCAAGGAAAAGATGAATTGACGTGAATTAAAGTGCACGACTTTTATAAAGATGATCTCATCAATTGGACAATTATCAAGCATTTCTGGCTAAACAAAATAAAATACACCTACCAAGGAAATGCTTGCAAGATGACTTTCAGCAGAATTTCAGAATACGTAGAAGGGTGTTAACAAAGGTGTGGAGCCCGGTCCACTGTAGCATAGGCAAATTTTTTGCTTCCTTCTCTGCTTTGCCTGTTTTGGAATTCTGCCTGCACTCTTCAAAAGAAAAATCCCGCTCAGCCTTCCCGCCTTCATACTCACGCGGTCCCGCCATGCCCTTTATCTAAATACATGAACCATACTTATTCCTGCAACTAAACCCAGGCGATAATAGTCTTGCAGATAGTTCAAGCAGAAAAGCAAGATTCAGTAGTTCCCATCAGATTAACAATTGAGAATGTTTACGTGACCTTCCTTTCCTAATCAATGAGTATCGAAGCATGCAAAATGGAGTGACAAGAGTAAGTTTAGATGAAGCAGGAAATCTAGGCGCCCTCGTTCCGTGAAGATCGTGTGCTTTGCAAAATAAGCTGTCCAACAAAACAATCCACTGGCCAAGGAAAAGATGAATTGACGTGAATTAAAGTGCACGACTTTTATAAAGATGATCTCATCAATTGGACAATTATCAAGCATTTCTGGCTAAACAAAATAAAATACACCTACCAAGGAAATGCTTGCAAGATGACTTTCAGCAGAATTTCAGAATACGTAGAAGGGTGTTAACAAAGGTGTGGAGCCCGGTCCACTGTAGCTTAGGCAATTTTTTTGCTTCCTTATCTGCTTTGCCTGTTTTGGAATTCTGCCTGCACTCTTCAAAAGAAAAATCCCGCTCAGCCTTCCCGCCTTCCTACTCACGCGGTCCCGCCATCTCTCTCACGCGGTCCCGCCATCTCCCTCACGCGGTCCCGCCAAAACACTCTCCCTCACGCGGCTTTGTCATAGGGAATTACCTTTCTTAGCCATTTTATGCCTCTTATAAAAAGCAAGACAAAAGGCCTGCAAAAGCACAACCCTATTCAATCTCTCTTGCTGTAGCTTGCAAGGGAAACAAAGGCTGCTATAGTTTTTCCCCTTACTTTTGTTTTCGGTTTGCAAACAGAGAAGAAATCCCTTTTTAAACAGAGAAGAAATCCCTTTACAAACGACTTTGTCATAGGAAATTACCTTTCTTAACCATTTTATGCCTCTTATAAAAAGCAAGACAAAAGGCCTGCAAAAGCACAACCCTATTCAATCTCTCTTGCTGTAGCTTGCAAGGGAAACAAAGGCTGCTATAGTTTTTCCCCTTACTTTTGTTTTCGGTTTGCAAACAGAGAAGAAATCCCTTTACAAACAAAATAGGTTTGCAAACAGAGAAAGAGAAAGAAGGGAAGAAGAAAAAGGAGGGAGAGAGGAGAGAGGAGAGAGGAGAGGAGAGAATTTTTCTTGTAACGTCGAGACGCTCGACGGTGTAATCCTCAAAATTAATAAAGTCCTCTACAGCTCCGTGGACGTAGGCAATTTGCCGAACCACGTAAATCTTGTGTCGTTTTTCTAGATCTATTTTTCGCTTTATTTGCCGTCGTTTTCATAACAAAGGGAACTCGTAGGAATAAATAATGATCGTTGCTGTTTAGATAGAGCAGAGAAAGTAGAGCTGCAAGGATGACCATGCCGCCTATGACAGTGATCGGCTTCAGAAGTTGTGGACAGTAACACATCAACATGCCATCATCATCTAAAAGTAGAGGGAGGGTAGAGACCATGAAGGCAATGACTTTGAAAATGATTTTGGTTTGTCTTGGGGTTGTTAAGGTAGAAACTGCAGGCAATAAAAGAAAAAATCACATCATTATTAGTGATGAGTTTATGATCTGACAAAAGATTTTGTGAAAGATTGGAATGTGAAATACTCCAGGAAGAGAGATTATGATGAGAACCGATAAAAGACCTGCAACAGTGTTGGTGTGAATGTTGTCTATTGATGACAATAACCTCTTTAAGGGCTGGGTATTTTGCTAAGGGCCTGTTTGGGGCAGCGTGTTTTCAAAATGGCTCTGTAGTGTTTGTTCCGAGCATTTGGAGCGCTTAATGAAAAATGGCCTTTTTTTTCTTTCTTTTCTTCTACCCGCGTAATAAAAGCGGCCGTGGGATCAATCCCGCATCTTCTACCCGCGTCGAGAGATTTTGTCCCTCCGTGCCCCTTTTGTCCGTCTCCTGTGACCCTCCGCATTGTTTAAAAATTCGTCTCCACTGCCCCTTCCCCGTTCGTCGACCCCAGCACCGAAGCTCAAGATCCCGGGAAGCCCAGCAGTCTCTCTGCATCGAAGAATCCGATAGCTCCGTTTCATTCTTCTATATACTCTGCATTTAAAACCTCCTTCCATTTTCGTATGTTCTCCCTCTTCATCTTCTTCCTTTCTTAACCCTTTTCCCCACCTAGTTGTTCCACCGCCACCTCGAAACAATGGGAGAGAGCGGCCATGAGAGGTCTTTGGAGCAGTTCCGGGTGACGGTGGTGGGAAGCAGCAACTGAGGAAGCGTTGCCGCCAAGCTCGTCGCTTCGAATACCCTCAGATTGCCGTCCTTCTGTGGTATCTCTCTCCTTCGCTTACAAAAGAATGTGCCTTAATATGAGTAATCTGAACGATTCTTTCCGGATGAAGTGAGTGTTTGAGGAGGTGCTGCCCTGCGGCGAGAAACTCGGTGACGCGACTAGTGTGAGTAGTTTTGATTCATTAACTTGGTTTGTTCTAAAAAAATAGTGTTTAATTGCTGATTACATGTGATTATTGTACTAATTTGATTGGGTTTAGAAAAATGTCAAGTACCTTAATGGCGTAAAGCTTGGAGATAATGTTGTGGCTGATCCTGACCTCGAAAATGTCGGTAATGTCTATTTATGAAATTTTGAATGTCTAGTTTACTGTTTTTGTATAGTGTTTTGCATATTTTGTTAATTAAAGAAAGGAAGATTTTCATACATACCATCTTATTGATGGTTAAGATAAATGGAAGACATAGGAAAGATCTGAATCATCGCTGATTATTCGAAGCGGCATCATAAATTTTCAAGCAAGATTGTATTGAACCAAATACATTACATTTGACTTGGAGGGAATAATGGACGCATTTAGATTGCAAGTACGTTTTTTTGTATTGTAATGAAGTGATTTTTCTGATTCTCAACTATCAAATGTATTGTCGTTATAATTCTGTTGCAAACAGCAACATTGCACAGTGTCAAAATAGTCATTTATCAAAAAAAAATTATAAATCAGTTGTTTTCCAAACGTACAAACCAAACAATTAACAACTTATTCAAATCAGGGGCAAAATGATCATTTATTCAAAGGCAGCTGCAAATTAGCTGTTCTCCAAACGCACAAACCACATTGTCAACTAGCTTATCAGGATAAGTTGTTTATCTGGATAAGCTGCTTTTCTTAATAAGCTGCAGTTGCCCCAAAAGGACCCTAAATTTTGGAGTTGGCCAAAGCTGGAAGTCAACTAAGGGTCTGTTTGGGGCAGCTGCAAATAAGTTATTGATAAACAACTGATCTAAATAAGCTGCTGATAAGCAACTTATCAAGATAAGCTGGTTAATTGTTTGATTTTTGTTTTTGGAAAATAGTTGTTTTGTATCTTTTTTTTTTTATCAATGACAATTTTATCCCTTTGCAGAGATGTTGTTTGGAACAAAACTGTCATAGTAATATATTTAGTACTTGAGAAGCAAAAAATCACTTCAAAACAGTACAAAAAATAAAATATAAAGTATCAAGATTGATAAAAAAATGAAAAAAAATAATTAAAATTAAAATAAAAAATATGATAATATTAATTTTAAAATTCAGACGGCGTATGTCATGAGTTACGTCTCTCTCCAAAGATACCCTCCAACCCCGATCACTATCAGCAATGGAATTTGTTGGACTGTCTGTCTGCCCGAAGAAGTCACACTTCTCTATGATGCCCGACGAGCACCTGTAGAACTGTCACCTCGTATGGAAGTTTGTAATTCACAGTGGCAGAGCACTCGTCAGAAGGTCTCTGAAATCATGGAGCTCATCTTTCCTGAATGATTCAAAAGACAATCAATTAGTCATAACAAAAGTTAAAATTGCTAAAAGAAGTAATTAATTACAGTTTTTTACAGAAGTTAGGTCTCTTAGAACAAAATATATCAACTAACGAATCTGTCACTACAATAAAATAACAGACCTTATAAAAAAATTTCTTGGTTGACTTTAACTCACTTAATACCCAGCTCATGTGTATCACATTAGCATATCACCAAAAAAATATAATCTAGAAGTATCTAAAAAACTCCGACATCGAAAAGAAGAGAAAAACTTGGTTGTTTTTATTGGAGCTTCACATGTGACACCAACTAGCAGCGACTAACAAACCATCCAGGAGAACCCACAAGGTCGAACGTCTCATCATGGATCTCACAAACCCACGAAAAAAAGGCCTAAAAGCAATCAAAGAAAGAAAAAAATCAATTACAAACAACATTAAACTTACAATATCTAACATAAAATAAACATGGACTTTATAAATTTATAAAAGTAGTAATCAAATACAGTTTTGTGCGGGTGCTAAGTATAAAAAAACTAAGTACACCAACCTCACTGAACATGTCATAATGAAAGACAGCAGACCTTATAAAACAGGGGTACTTGGCTACCTTTAGTTCACTTAATGTCAAGCTCGTGTGTATCACAAATGTATATCATTAAAAAAAAAATCATCCAGAAGTATCACAAAAACCAGCATCAAAGAAAAGAAAATAGAAACTTAGTTGCCTTTATCATGATTTAACATGTGACACCAACCAATGGTGACTAAACAGGTCATCCAGAAGTACCGCAAAAACCCCAGCATCAAAAAGAAAGAGAAACTTGGTTGTCTTTATCAGAATTTCACATGACACCAACCAACGATGATTAATAGGTCGTCCAGAAGAACCCAACAAAGTCGAACGTCTCATCATGGACCTCACAAACCCACACTAACACTAAAAAAATGAACGAAAGCAATCGAAAAAGTAGAAAAACAATTACAAACAACATAAAACTTACAATATCTTAAGTATCAAGGATACATGGAACATAAAATAAACATGAACTTTATTCATTAATGTTGGAATCGGTCCATCGTGCATCTCATTGATTCATTATGTGATAAAATGTAGAAAGTTATTGTTAGCTTCACTTGATGTCATTCTTGAGGAGCCTTAGAGTCCATGATGGCTATGTAGTTCATCGAGCATATCTATAAATACCCTCCAGGTCCGGCTCAATGAATATTCAATCCAACTTCTCCTCCAGGTCCGGCTCAATGCCACTGAATTTGAAGTTCTTAGCGATTGGCACTGCCTACAACATACGAGCAAGTTTCTTACTTAAAACAGCTTCGAGGGATAAAGAATAGAAAAACAAGTCTTCAATGGATTGGTTATTACTTCTAATTTCTCAGTCCATTTCTCCAAAGTATCAATAGTCCGTTTGATTGGATCCCAACCAAAGTCGGTGGTCCCCATTTTAGTTCCTTCCATAATTTCAAGTCCTTTCTCAACTGATCTCACTTGTTTTTAAATTGTAACATATCATAGTCTCTTCCTGTCATTTCTTTGAAATTCTTCGTAATATTTTGTCTCCCTTTGTTAAAGTAGGTGGTGGGTCTATTTCTAAACTCAACCTCCTTAAGACAGAGGTTGCAAAATATGATTGTGATTTTTTAATCCCACATGGCTGATGAACCGACTTCTTTGATCTTAATCATTACGTTACTAAACAAAGAAAATGGAAAACATTAATAATTCATAACAACCAGAGAAGAGACAATAGCCACCACCTAACCCCAGCACTTTAATCCAAATCCTCTAATTCAGATGAAATTATAAAGGGACAATAACCACCATACTAACAAGCCACCACCACCACCACTCACATGCATACATACCAACACCAAGATAACATCACTATCACAAACACCCACAGTCACACACACACCCATATCCCCAATACAGCCACCACCCAAAACCTCTACCACCACACTAGCAAGACACCACCACCACACTAACAAAGCCACCACCAAATGCAACAGGGCAACCCACCAAGCCCAACAAACTATAGAACAACAAATGCAATAGGGCAACTCAATAAGGCAACCCACCAAGACAAACCTTCAATAAGGCAACCCACAAAGATTAAAGACCAACATACCATAGAACAACAAATACAACAGGGCAACCCACAATAGAAAATGGAGCATCAAATGCAACAGTGCAACACAACCACAACCGCACACCACACACACCCCCACAGCCACCACATAGAGCACCCAACCACAGTCACACACCACACACACACCCACAGCCACCACACACACACCCACAGCCACCACACAAACACCCACAGCCACCACACAAGGCACCCAACCATAGCCCCACACCACACACATACCCACAACCACCACAGAGAGCGCCCAACCACAACCCCTAAGCTGTGAAATTGTCACTCAAACATCAAAGGAATTGATGAAACCCCACCCCGAAACCCCACCCCATATTTTTCATTTGAGGCAATTGCATGCAGGTCACCCAAAAACTTGCTATCGACAAATGAGCACTCTCTCCTTTTTCAGATTCCAAACAAAGCACAAACTTTCTTACATTATCCGAATTTCATAAAAAAAAAAGTATTCGCATAAAAAAAAATCAAGCCAGGAAATCGCTTTTAATCGCATATAGACAAATGAACACTCTCTCCATTTTCAAATTCCAAATCAAGCACAAACTTTCATGCATTATCTGAGTTTTATTAAAAAAATCAGAAAAATCGCATAAAGAAAATCATTCCAACCGATGAAATCGCCAGAAATCGCATATAGAATGGCATGCGATCAAAAATAACTCACAGTAACCAGAGATCGGAGGGAGGAGGAAGAGGTGAGGCAACGCTAATAAGCAATCGAGGGAGAGGCGAGCAAGGAATCACCTAGGGAAGAACACGTTCGGCAGTCCAGCGATCCAGAATGAAGGTTAATCACGTAATAAGCAAAGGTAAAAGCGCGGGCCACGGGTTCGAAACCGCTGCCGCGTTTAATAAAAAACCGCGACAGGTTGAATGCAAGAAACAAACGGGAGGGTTTCAAAAAGGAACCGTAGCAAAAAAAGGATGTCACAACGGAGTCAAGTAGGCAATCAGAGATGCTTGGGGAGGACAAGGAGGGCTGTAGAGACTGAGTGACAATTGGGTGATAGGTAGCTCAGGTTGGCACGGTGCCAAATATTATCAACTGAGTGTCCAATAATTCGTCAAATTTAGCATTATATGGCAGCTGAGAAACGCCTTCCTCCCTTGTTTGGGGAAGAGATGCAATTCATGCATCTAAGAAAATCAGTTGATTTGCGGCCTTGGCCTTGTAAATATTGTGAACAGCCACTACCGCACTGGGTTGTAAGAGCAAGAGTCAACAGATTGTGTCATTAGTTAATTCATTGCCAATATTAATGTCTATACTACATGAACGAGAATAGAGTTCAACAAATTTGGTAGGTATCAAATTGGTGCGAATGGCAGTTTTGAAAGCTTGATATATGAAAGGCGAGCCATAAAGAAGAAAATGATATTTTTTATATTAATATGAACCCACAGGTGCAATTTTATTAAGAAGAGACTAAAATTCGGATATATACTTGACCATGCCATCGGTTTTCATGCATATGTGGTGGAGTTCATTCTCCAATTGAATAACCCAAAATTGGACGACCCATTACAGTTGTCCAGATTATGAAGTAGTTGTCAAGCTTAAGAACATAAGGAAGAATTGAGAAGGTGATTATAGAGTATAGAGCAACGGCTAGATTTTGTTCAGTAGGTAACTATGTTGAGAAGAGTGGACAGGAGAAAATTAAACCTGAAGCATTCATAATAGCTTTTCCACGATAGATTGTAGATTCATCAAGGAAGCTATCGAAGCCTGTTTTGAATGTTTTGAGATATTGGCAAGTTGTCATTGCAAAGTTAAGTAGTAACTATATGCTTGATGTTAGACATCAGGAATTTGAGGGGTGGTGATATATTGATCTAAATAATTGTGAATGGAATAAAGCCTTGCTTACAGAGGTGGAGAATGATTGATCCATATTGAGAAGTTTGGGATTATAGGGAGAAGAGGCAATGAAGAAAAAATGCAAAGAAGTGTTAAGGTGCTCTTAAGTGATTGCTCTGATACCATAAAGAACTACTAGTGATAACAAGGATAGGGAAGCAGATTCATTAATCATAAACCATATCAATGCAATACTACTGCTTCATAATATATAAAAGAGAGAGTTTCTTCAACAACTAAGCAAGAATAAGTTTGTTATAATTTAACGATAATGATACTTGAGACTGTTAAAGGAATACAGCTATGTTGAATATGCAGAGAGTATCTGAGCCAAGTATCTGAAGGTAATGTGCTTTGTGGTTCTCATTATTAGTTAAGGAGATGAAAAAAAGAAAAAAAGGATGGATAAAAGCAGAGCTTGATAATGTGCTATTTCATTTCCTAGAATAAACCAAATAGATGTAATCTTTCCTTATCAAAATTTTGAAACTGCACCAAACGTTGAATTGAAATATAAAAGAACAAAATCGGTGTAATATTTCCGCGCCAAAGCTGTGAAAATTACAAAGAATTTTGAACCAAAAGAAAAATATATTCAAGCTTTAATGTTCTATTGAATTGAACTGAAAGAAATAATAAATATTAAAATTTATTTATAGTTGAAATGATGTAACAATGATGCAATAATAATTTCTTTTTAATTCAAAATAAAACATTCTAATTTAGGGTACTTCGCTCTTGAATATTTTGAATATAACTCAAAATCAAAACTTTATGACATTAACACTTTAATTATTTTCTCTTTTTTTAGTCTAAATTGTTTTTTCTAGCCTTCCAATCAAAGCAAAAAAGCTAAAAAAGTTAACCATATTATAAAGACCAGTTCATCAAAAACCAAACTCACTCACTTGTTCAACCTTAGTTACATATGAAAGTGGATTTGGATCTAGACCAAACCCATCAGAGGACCGGTTCAGGATTATACTGGTTAAACTAACAGGTCTGATCCGATTTAAAAACCATATTCCTTGTGATTTAGTTACTTACATTTTTCACCAATAAACAAAAAAAAAGAATCAAAAACATTAAATCTATATAACTATCATTACTTTTACTTTTATCAAAGATTGCACCAAAAAAAGCTATAATCTCCAATCATAAAGTCCAATATTTCACCCATCATTTCACTAAAAATGCTTTTTTCCTTATATATCTATGTTTCCCTCCCACCCTCTGGTGATTTGAGAAACTCAAGGTAAATGTACAAACGCCCTTCCACTCTCATGTGATAGAAGAGACTCAAGATAATTTAAAAGGGTTAAATAAAGGCTGGGCAGAGGAGAATTGTATGGTCAAAGTTATGATATGAATCAGCAAACATTGAAGATTACGGATTGCAGCTGGTAAGAAAAAAGGTTGCGGTTATTATTTTCAGACTTCAGAATAAATAAGCATGTTACACAGTTTAGTTTTTGTAATTTGGATTCGACCAAAATTTACCAAAAAGAAAATTACAAGAGCTATAAGGCATGTCACAAGTTATTTCATAGTGTTAGCACAATAAGGCAGGAAAAATTCAAATGCAGATCACACAGGAGAAGAAAATACCGACAATCACAACCCATGCTGCATACTAAAGACATCAAAAAGTAACCAATATAATAGTAATACAAAGGTAAGATAATAACTCTATACAAAAAACAACGCTCAGAAAGTTATGAAGAAAAGAATAACAAATCCAAGTTACATTTTTTTAGTTCTTACATGATCACAGAGCTGTCCATACTTGATAGTCAGAAATGTAGATCCACACTTGAAATTAAGCACTACCACTTGGATAAGACCCACTTCATCCACGTGGAAAAACAGTGCTTTGAAAGATGCTCTGGCAAATCTGCCTGAATGCAATATAGTGTCATTTAAATCATCATCATCATTATTGGATTGAATAAAATGTCATTCTTCATCTAAATTTGGTAATGAAAGAAAAGATGACCATCTATATAACGAATACAGATTCAAGTTTCTCTATATAGAACTTTTGAAGAAAACTAGATTTTTTAAATTGGCAAAAGATTCAAATCAGTTCATATCAAAGACCTATTTGCATTTGAGATAAATTATACCAATACCAGCATTAAATGTACTATGCGCCCGTTATAGAAAATTAACTTTTCATTCCTATAAAATTCGCTTTTTTCATTTATGACATGTAGGAATATCATCAATAAGGATAGAATAAGCCTCTTTTTGACAACAACAACAAACCTTTATGCCTCCAAGTGGGGTCAGTTTCATGTATCATTTTTCTCCATTGCGTCCTATTGAGTGTCATATTTTCATTTAATTCTCATAAATTAAAGTCATTTTTTATACAATATGCCCAAGTCTTTCTAGGTCAACTTCCGCCTTTCTTAACATAACTCGAATCTAAAACATCTACTCCCCTAATCGAATCATCAGATGGTCAACGTTTAATGAGACCAAATCATCTAAGACGACTCTCTATTTTTGTTCATCACTGGAGCTACATCAACTTTATCACGGATATATTCATTTCGCATTTTGTCTCTAAGTGAAAAGCCACTCATCCACTTGATCATTCTCATCTCAGCAACACTTAACTTAGATTTATGCTTCTCTCTTAACGGCTAACATTTAGCACCATAGAGCCATGCAGGTCTCGCCACCATCTTATAAAATTTTTCCTTCAGTCTAAGCAGTATTTTTCTATCACACAATAGGCCCGAAGCATTCCTCCACTTCAACCAACCAACTTGAATTCTACTAATAACACCCTCATTTATCACGATCAATTTGAACAATAGACCCGAGATATCTAAAGCGTTCACACATTTTAATAATTTGATCACCCATAGTTATAATTTTGTCACTAGAGCTACTATTACTAAAATTACATTCCATGTATTCAGTTTTGTTCTACTCAAACAAATGTCTTTAGACTCCAATGCAGACCTCTATAATTCAAGTTTTTCCTGAGCTTTCTCTCTTGTCTTATCCACAACAAGGATATCATCAGCAAAAAGAATACACCAAGGTAAATCCTCATGTAAATGTCTAGCAAGAGCATTCATAACCAAAGCAAAAAGATATGGGCTTAAAGCCAATCCTTGATGTAATCCAAAAGAAATAGGAAAATATTTGGTCAATCCTCCTGTTCGAACACAAGTAACAGCTCCAGTATACATATCTTTATATCTTTAATGACTTGAATATAAGTCATATCAACATCTTTCTTCTCAAGAACTTTCCAAAGGATATCATTTGAAACCATATCGTAAGCTTTTTCTAACTTAATAAAAATCGTATGTAGATCCTCTTTATTATCTCTGAACTTCTCCATCAAATCTCTCAATAAATGTATGGCTTCCATAGTAGACGGCTTCCATAGTAGACCTTCCATAGTAGACCTGTCCGACAAAAATCCAAATTGATTATCAAAAAATTTTGTAATACATCTTAACCAATGTTCAATTATCCTCTCCCACAATTTTAAAGTATGGCACATCAACTTAATTCCTCTATAATGCACATCAACTTAATTCCTCTTAATTCCTCTATAATTTGCAAACTCTTATGCATCTCCTTTATTCTTAAAAATGGGACCAAAAAACTCTTCCCCTACTCCTCAAGCATCTTTTTAATTTTTAAAATAATATTAAAAAATTTAGTAAGTCAAGAAACTTCCAAATCTCCTATATATTTCCGCACTTAAATTGGGATATCATCAGGTCCTACAGACTTTCCACCCTTGGTTTTCTTTAAAGCCTCCTCAACTACTTTTTTACTAATACTACAGTAAAAATAACACATTTTCTTATTATTAATGATATTAATATCACTAAAGTCGATTTTATTTTCAAAAATTTCATCAAAAAGTTTTTCAAAATAACTCATACACGTATGTTGAATAACTTTTTCTAAGAAAAGCATTTTTTTTATTTTCATCTTTAATATACTTTACTTAAGTTAAATCTTTATTTTTTTCTTTATTTGGCTAATTTATACATCTATTTTTTACCCTCCTTAGAATCTAATCTATTATAAAAATCACTAAAAGCAAAATTTTTAGCTTTACAGATCGTTCTTTTAGACTCTCTATGGGTCATTTTGATATTTTTCTTAGTTCTCTGAGCTTTTACATTTAAATCAATTTTTATATTATAATTTCTCATATTTTATCTTTTCTTGCACATTATTATTCCACTACCAACTATTTTTATTTATAAAAACTTTATCTTTTGATGCTCCAAGTACCACTTTTGTACCACTTATTTAATAGTGGTTGTTATTTTATCTCGCATTGAATTGACTTCTTCTTGAACATCCCAAATCTTGAAATCTTGAATTTTATTCATAAAAATAAATTTGTCTGTTAGGTAATCTCATCTAATTCTACGACGATGCTTCCTAGTATTTTTTATTTCACAACTCCTCATCTTAAAATCTAGAAGTAATAATCGATGTTGAGTACTTAAATTCTCACTTGCAATGACCTCACAATTTTTACATTCTCAACGATCTCTTCTTCTCATAAGAAAATAATCAATTTGTGTGTTTTATTAGATTCATTCTTATAAATAATAATATGCTCATATGTTTTCTTAAATAAAATATTAGCAACAACAAAATCATACGTTAAAGCAAAATCTAATATGGCTCTACCTTCTTCATTAATTACTCAAAAATCGTAGCTACCATGAAAATTTCAAAAATCTTTTACCACTCTACCGACATATCTAATTAAATCTCCTCCAACAAAAATATTTTCTTCAAAAGGTATTATTTGTATTAAGTCTTCTAAGTTATTCCAGAATTTATCTTTAGAATCTGTAATCTTTAGTTCCAGAATTTATCTTTAGAATCTGTATCTAAAACTACTTGAGGAGCATAAACACTTATATTATTAAAAATCTTAGAATTAGCAATAATCATAAGGGCTATAATTTTATGTCTAATTCTATTAATTTTTATAACATTACCTTTCAAACTCTTATCTATAATTACACCCACACTATTTCTAGTGTGACTTACCTGAATACCAAAGTTTAAAACCTAAGTTACCAATCTCCTTAGCTTTTTCTCTAACCCATTTAGTTTCTTGGACATATAAGATATTTATCTTTCTATGAATCATAATATCATCTAATTCCAAAAATTTACCAATAAAAATACCTATATTCCAAGATCCTATTCTAATATTAGTTTCATGGACTAACTTATTTATTCGCATCCGTCCGTAATGTGGGAACTCTTGCTGCCCTTGCATACTTTTCACTGTATTCAAGTCATACAACGCGTCGCTTCCAGGGGACGCCCTAACATTTACATATTATCTAAAGGAAAGATTTTTCAATTCATATGATGATTTTTCGACAAATTTTATAATAGCTGTCGACTACCTAATGCAACCCTCCACTTTTCACATCTGGGGCTTAGGACCCGGCAATAGCAGTGTTGAATAAGCCTCTCTTTGAGGATGTGAAAAAATAATATTTAAAAAACAAATATATAATACATAACTGAAAGCAAAGTACTGTATTTCATTATGATTGATATATTGAATAATTAATATAAGTTTTTATGTGCTGCATTTTTTGATAATATTGCATGATAACTTCATTGTGAGATAATGAAATACTTTTATTTCCTTATTTATGGACAAAAACATTTATTTTTATGGAAGGGTGTGCGCAAAATAATAATATAAAAATAAATAAACATAAGGAAAATTCAGGATTTCCCTAAACTCAATGTGGGTCCTCCCTACTCATCAAATGCTTCATTTAAATTATTGTCTTAAAAAAATACTCATCAACTTAACATGAAAAAGTATTACTTACAAGAATAAATGACTTCGATGTAAAGAATGTGCAAATTTCCAAATCAAATACTTATGAAATATCAAAAACAAAAGAACTAGGAACCACAAGCCATTTCTTTGATCTCCTTGAATTTGTTATTAGAAAGATATTGGAAGAAGCAGATGAGTACGAATTGATTAGATAATTTCATAGAGAGAGAGCGAGAGAGAGAGACAGAGAGAGAGGACAGAGAGAGAGAGACATACAATATGCCAAGCACATGAGTAATTGTTGGTAGTGAGAAGCCAAGTCCTCCCTCCTAATTTCCAATCATGCAAACTATTCAATTGTTCAAATTCCAAAAGCTCGTCAGTATTTTCATTAGCATTATTATGTTTCTTTTTCCTCCTCTTCTTGTCCTTATTTCTCCTATTGTGATGCCGTCTAGCCATTTCTTCCTCATCAATCTCCAAACTATGTTCTTTAAAAGTTTCATTAGACTGCAACAAGCAGAACTTATCAGCTCTGCGAAAACTTATTCCATTCCCAGAAAACAATGATTCACATGATTTTTGTGTTTTGCATTCCTGTGCCAAATGATAGTGAATAACCCAAGACTGAAGTCCAATCCATTTTATTGCTATCTGCTTTTCCATCTTCATGCATTCTTTCAGCAAATCCCAGTGATCAGTATCAGAAAAATTCAAGCCATTCATCAATAGCATCTCTAGCTTTTCCTTCTCGTTCTCATGCTCTTCATCAATCAGTAGATGTAAAAGCTGTCTTCCATGAGAAATTACAGCATTTAATAAGATAAATTCATCAACAGATACAGACCCACTGCAAGTTGACAGGAGGTTCTCTAGCCAACATGATGAGTATTTTAATTCCTTGCATTGTGCATTTATATGAATAAATTTACTGACAGACTTCAAGAAAGTTAGCATCCTAGAATCATCTACAATAACGAGGAGATGTTGGCAGAGAAATGAGAACTGCTCATCCATTATAAATTCCTCGATAATCATCCATGCTTCTTCAAGGTTCTCCTCATACATTAAGTAAAGAAATTTATCTATAAAATATTTTCTATCAATCTTTAAGATTTCACCATCTTTCACAGATTCGGCAAGTTCCTCTGAAGACCAAAAATCTCGTACATACTGAAGGAAGTTCTCCACAGTCTGAAGGACATCCAGGTCATGGAAATAATGGGGTTTGGTAGCAACCACTGCTGGAGATTGCCCATGTCTTCCTTTCCACTCGAGCTCCTCCCAGCATGTGTCACGGTTCATAAAAGCAAACTTGGAGAGTGCCCTGGCTCCCTTTTTGTGCCCTGATTCTCCCACAGTGGCAAAGTGATCAAACCAGTCCATAATACGTCTTGGATGCCCTGCAATCCATATAATTTTAAAAATATGTGGAGATTGACATAAAGCATAAATACAACATATGATGCCATGCATGATAATGATAATAATGAACGAATGTGAAAGCAAGGAGGGCAATGCAAATGGGAGACATCAACCTTCAAAAAATTTCTCAAGCATGCAGCATTTTTTTGCAATAATGGACCCAACCTTGCTTGGCCTATTTTCAAAGATCATCTGCAACAGTTGAGCCGCAACATCATGCTTGGACTTCTTGAGCCTCAACAGCTCAATAAACAATTCACATTGCTCCCTTGGAGTTATGGAGTGAATGGATGAAATTGTATTGCAAAGCCAAAGGCGAGCTTCATTTCGACCACCAGATACCATAGCAGACCATAAAATTGATTCAAGTTTTTCCAAAAGTGTAAGCCTCTCCTTCACGCCGTCTCTGTCTCCGGAGATACATGAAGGTGGTGGGGATAAAAACAGTCTAACCATCTTCTATCTGAGGATTCCTCTACTCCCACTCCGACACTAAGAACCAACAACACAGCAGAAAACCCAAAAATCTATGAGTCAAACAAGATAGACGAATCTAAGGGGGTGTTAGGTAGTAAGGTTTAAACCTTTTTAAAGCAGGATTTAGCATAAAACCTGCCAAACAGAGAAAATGACTACGTCTAAATCCTACAAAATCTTAAATCCCGGATTTAGAAATCCGGGCATTAGATGGATTTAACTTCAATCCGAAAGATTCCCAAGCTCCCCATCTTTCACATGCTGCTGATCCGGTCTATGCCTCCTCCAGCGAGCTCCCGTTCTCCAGACGCGATCCGCCTTTGTCGTCGGTAATCTTGGGACGGGGAGGGAGAGGGGGAGGGGGACTCGGGAAGCAGACGTGGTTTCGTGCACCTGGTCATTCATAATTTCTTAAATTATATAAGCTTTATTTAAGAACAATTTTTTTTTTAATTTTTTTTAATTTAAAAATATGTTAATTAAATAAAATTTTTGTATCCTTTATTTTAAAAAAAAATAATATAATATAAATTATTATAAATACTTTCAATTAAATATCTTATATCATATCAAATATATTTTATTTAAAATAAAAATATAAATGTAATAGGGAAAATAAAATAAAATTTAAAATAAAAAATTAAAATTAAAAGTGACCTCGAAAGGGCATAATATATTAGTTGATATCAATTAAAAATAATATGGATTGTGATTGCCAATAACAAAAAAAGAAAATAAAAATAAAAACTGACATTTATTTATAATTTATTTTTTTATTTTTTTAATATTTTTAAATTTTGACAAGGCTATTTTCGTTCTAAGTGATCACAACATGCTGATGCTCATTTGATCGAATAAATATATAATATATCAAGATTTTTAGAGCCCCATTTGATCGAATAAAATCTCAAACTTCATGTAATGATTACACATCGTTTTTGAATTCAAAGCATCTTAACTCTCCCATTTCACTTTTAAATCTTAACTGTAGTCTGATTAGTTCTTAATATTATTTTCATGAGGACTGATACAAGTTTAAATTAGGGAAATAATTTCTTATTATCATTTTCCTTCAGTTATTATGCTAATAGAATTAAATTTTCTAATTGTAATTTTTTTAATACACTATTTTAACTTTTTTGTTCACTTTTTATATATTAATTATGGAATGATGTTTTATATTGTAGTGAAAATTGGAATTCATTTATTATTTGAACAATTAATTTCTACTTAATTACAAAAATCATTTATTTTTTTTTTGTGCACACTTAGATCAAACTAAAAACCTTTTAATCTAAGTTAATGTTTAATAATTGTTGGGAAATGGATTCTTTGAAATGGATTAAGTTAATTGACACAATCTAGTTTAAGAAATAATGGTGTTTCTATTTTTCGTGTTTGACATTTTCGAGCTTAATTATCCAAGATTACTCATTCACCATAAATCACATATTAATTTAATCTTTCATTTTGTTCAACTTAAATTATCTAGATAACTCGACAAATTATTTTATTAATATTATTTTTTAACAGAAAGTTGATGTTTGCAGGCAAACTAAGTTTTATTGGTGGTTAAACCCAACTATATATACCCACATGTTGACCTCAATTTCGGTGAGGCATTTCTTTCCTCTTAGTACTTAGATCTAGCTATAGGATTTTCCTTTTGACTATCCTAAAAGAGTAGAGATGTAACCCACTTAAATAGAAAATCAAGGCACCTCCTAGCTCTCTTTGAAACCATTCATGGACGTTCATGAACCTCCAGCACTTAGAAGGTTGAGACAAACATGTGATGATTCAATGATGAGACCCCATAGGACTGTTAAACTTAGGGCAACCTTGGGTGGCTAGGGTTTGGTCTCTCACACACTCAAGCACATCACAATTCCCCACTTGTCCTAAAAAGTTAAAATTACACCCATTGAACCTATTTTCCTTTGCTCTTTTGGAAACTCTTGTGGGTGGTCTACAAGCTCTTAGCCCTTTGGCTAGGGTAGCTGGGACCAACACATGTAGGATCCAAAATGGGCTTCCCTTTGGTTCCATGGCTCAAATAAGGTAACCATCATGATTGACATACCCAATGGCTTTCAATTCCACCTAAACGCCTAATTTTAGCCTTTCAACCCCTAACTTCTCCAAAATTACCAAAATGCCCCTATAACCCTCAATTTCTAAAGTAGACAAAATTCAGATTGTCTTCAAAAATCATATCAAATCATTCCAAATCAATCAAATTGACAAAAATGCACCATTTTCTCCAAAACTCCCAAATTAAACCCCCCTAATTTTGCCAAATTTACCAAATACCCCTCACACCCAAAAAGTTTTCCAAAACCCTAATTCCACCCAAATTCATCCCAAAGGTCATTTGAAACTTCCCCACATTGCCCAATTGCCCTAAATTTACCAAATTTGACCAAATTGACCAATTTTGACCCAAAACCAATTTTACCCCTAACTTGTCAAATTCCCTAAATCAACCCCAATTTTCACCAAATTCATTTCCATTTCACCCAATTTCAAACCTAAATTTTACATAAACTTATCCAATCCCAATCTACACCAATTTGGAGCCCAATTGAACCACCCTCCAAACCCTAATTTCAATTTTGAGCCAAAAAATTCCAAATTTGACCATACCCCTAAATTTCATCAAATTGAACCCCATAACAAACACAATTCCCTCAATTTTGAATCTTACACTCTTTATAACATTCCTATAGACCAATTTGAACCCTCAATTGGTCTAGACCCAAACCCTAACCTAACCTAAATTGAAGCCAATACCAATTACCCTAAAATTGACAATAAGCCAAAATTCCATCAAATTGAGCCCTTCAATCAAATCAATGCCCCCAATTTAACTTCCTAAATTCTTCACCAAATCCCCCTAGACCAATTGAACCCTTCAATCAGTTTTTAAAGCAAACCCAAGTTTAATTTCTAGCCCAAACCCTAATTTCAAGACTAAGCTCTAAACTAACTTAAACATTTATATTTTATCAAGCCCTGGGATACTAATCAAATCACCCATGAATCAAATCTTGAGCCATGGACCAAGGGTCCCCCAAATTGTGGAACTTTCCACCATAATTTTGCTAAGCTCTTTACCCCATGCCATCAACCATCAAACCTCAAAGAAAATCACCATTAAACCTTCCTTGACCTTCCCTGAACCAGCTAGCCACCTTCTCTGGCTGGGTCGGGCATCTTAGTCATTGAAAAACCCAAAACAGAGAAGGTCATCACTTGGCTAAAACCCAAATTCTACCCATCCAATGTAGCTCACTCCCATTAGTGAACTGCGCCGCTCAACCCTCTGCCTAATTATCCTTCTCTATCCCTTGGCTTGGCCAATTCAGCCCTAATCTCATGTCTATTTAAACAAACCCTCTCTCAGCCATTGGAAAAGTTTTGTCTATTCCTTAGGGAAATTGCTCTCGCGGCTTTCTCAGACTCTCTTAAGCTCAGCCCAATCGAATTCTAGCGCCCTAATCTCATGTCTATTTAAACAACCCCTCTCTCAGCCATTGGAAGAGTTTTGTCTATTCCTTAGGGAGACCCCTCCAAATTGCTCTCACGACTTTCCCAGACTCTCTTAAGCTCAGCCCAATCGAATTCTAGCCTATCTTCCTCACTATAAAACCTTAATTTCAAACTAGAAATCCAGGACCTTTTTTCCACTCCACCAAACTCCACCAAACTTCAAATTTATTGTTCCAAAAGCTTTCTCAGACTAAATGACGAAGTTTCCCAATGAAGCCCCCTCACTTTGAGCACTCTAAACCACTCCTAGAACAAACCTGAATCACCCCTTAATCGAACTCTTTCCTTGGCTCAACCTCAAGTTGATTTGATGCTTGGAGGAGCTTTTTGAGATCACAACAAATGTCTACAACCAACCCAATCAAGGCCTCACCTCTTGGGCAAAGGTATAGCTCACAAACCCTATAACCATGCTCGGTTTCACCAATTATGAGTGAACTTGTTTCTCATATGCTTTTAACCATATGGATGTGCTCATCTCGATTAGATGAAACTATTAGATCAAATCCCATGTGAATTGGTTGTGTATCGAGTGAGATCTTAGGTTTAGAAAACGTGCAGTTCTTTGTTTATGTTAGATGGGGACAATGAACGGATGTCGTGCATTCAAGTGTGTATCGAATCAACGGACCAGATGGTGTCAAATGAGAGCTTGGAACATAAAGCATAGGATGACAAGGAATTGACTCAGAAGGCAACGTCAAATGATAGAGCATCGTGTGGAGCTCAACGGGTCCTATGTTGTACTGGCCCTGAGTCGAATAAGTAGAAAAATAGCTTTTTAAATAATTTAAATAATTCTAAAAATTCAAAAATTCATAACTTGGTGTAAAAAATCATAAAAATAAAATAAAAATACCCCTGTGCTCAGTGAATAGAGGAGAATCATATGAACTAAAATTTAAAATTTTTTTGCCTTTTATTTATTTTTAAATTAATTAAATACTCTAAACCTTCATTAAATCATGGATAATTAAATATTAATCATCATGATAAGAAATTTGGAGTGTTTTTTCTCTCTATGAAGTGTTCTCTAATTTATCCAAAGTCAGAGAACACCTCCAGCATGGTAAATCCTAATTTCCAAAGTTAGGTCGCTCTTTTGTTGAAAATAATTATATAAATTAAAAAAAAATCAGAAAAAATATGAGGTTTATATTGGTATGTTCGCTGTGGTCAGAGGAGCCTAAGGTATATATTGGTATGTTCGCTGTGGTCAGAGGAGCCTAAAAAAAATAAAACCTAAATTTAAATATATTTAAAATATAATTTCCTATTCTAATTCATTAAAATCCATAAATAAATAAATTAATTAAATAAAATCAAAAAAATCATAAATATTGATTCACAATGAAGATAATGAACATTTTAAGCCTCCATAAAAATTTGAAACCAATTTGAAATGTGTTTGATATCGATTTATATTTTTTAAGATAAACGAGATTTTTGCACTAAAATAATTATATTAAATAAAATATTATTAAAAAAATTATGAAAAGTGATTTGGACTGATCCTTGTGACCAGGGGCAGTCAAGAAAAATAAAATTGATGTTAAAATAAAAAGTTCATTTTTGGGCTAATTTTTAATTTAAAAAACTATTAAAAATAATCAAAATTCACAAAAATACAAAAATGCATCAAAATGACACAAAAATTTTGGACCAATTAGAATATTTTTCTTAATTTTTTTAATGAACTTATGTATTTTTAAATGAATATAATATATTTTCCCTAATTTTCAATAAAATAATTATAAAAAAATAAATATCAAAAAAATATAAAATAAGCTATTTTGAGTTCCTTAAAGTTA